TCATTAAAATCGGAAAAGTCTGATTGTGTCGACTCTCAACGGTGTAGCCCAGCGTGCGCGGAAAACTAAAGGGTTTTCTGTGGCCGTTAAGCTCCCCGCGTGCTCGGAAAGATGAAAATCTTTTCGAGGCCGCTATAGACCTCAATTGGGTAGACTTCTACCGCTATGAAGGTCCACGCGTGCACGGGAAGACGAAGTCGACCCGGGGCCGCTAAGCTATCGGCGAAACCGGCAGAGTTGACTTTTTTAATGAGTGATTAATCGAATTTATAAGAAAATTCGATAGAAGTGCTCGTAAGTAGCGAGGTTTCGCGTCTATGAAGGGCGAAGCATTTTCGGACGTTATCGGTAGCGTTCGTCAACAATCGGTATCGCGTTATCGCTCCGTCGAGTCCGTGAGCGCGGAGCAGGTATTCATTCTCTTCCCAACGACCGAGTAAATAGCATTAAGACGCTTGCGTTCCTCGCTTGCGTTCCTCATTCAATACTTTCGTGAAATAAAATTGGTTAAATTCATTTAAATTTGCAGTTAAATTATTTATGCCCACAAAATCCTGTACAATGTTTTTCTCAAAACTACGTTCTTAAAATTGGTGTGGCTGATAACTCAAAAACTAGTTTATCAATCGCGCTCAAATTTTTTGTACATATCCATATACTATCTAACATATGAACCTAAATTTATGAAATAAATTGAACATTAAAGTCTTTTTTATTGCAAAACATTGCAAAAATTTTCAATAAAATTCAAAGTTTTTCTTTAAAAGCGCGCCATTTCTTCAATTTTACAGATTTTGCACATTTCTGAGGTTCATCTACTAACTGTGAATGTTAGTTTTCGAAATATTGTCTGCAAACTTGCTTCAGACCAATATATCTAAAGCTAAAACCCACACCAATTCACGAGACGCGCCCAAACACTTCCAGGAAGGACTATTATAATTCCGCCATTTTTAAATGTATTTAAAAACAAAAAATATTGTATAATAGGCAATAGTTATAATAAATTATACCTGAAATTTCAAAAACGCAAAACAAAGATATCCAATACAAAAAAATTCACAAAAATCAGCTTATTTTCATGTCTAAAGGTATTGCCCCCCTTAAGGTGAAGTGGGGTAAGTGCTAGCTGGTTTTTGTAAAGTTGGTATTTAAACATAAGTAGTTTCAGTCTGCTATGTAAATACTTAACACTGTCGATATCGAACACTT